AAACATTATTTAAATGCACTCCGATTCTTCATCTGCTGCGAGTAATTGCAAAGCATCCACGATAATTTCGCCGTCGTCAACATTTACTGTGGGTGCTGTGGTGCTAGAGCTGGGGCAAGCTCTGCTGGAATCGTACATTTTTCTTCCAGCATGTAAACTTGGTTCGTTTACGGATCTCCTCATTTCTGATTCGATCTCGCAAAGAAACACCAAGCATAGCCCTCTCCATAGCATTTGTTATACACTCTAGTCTTCAGGCATTGAGGTGTTTTGGACGAAAAGATGTTGCGTAGTTTCCCGAACGCTGCCCAGCCGAGTTGGATTCGACGATTGACCTCCTTTTTTGTACTTTGTTCTTCAGTCTTATTAGTTTTCTTTTTCTCTTTACTTTGTTTTTCAGTCTTATTTCTCTTTGAATTTGACTCTCTGGTCTTTTTTTCTTGTTAGATATATCTTTGTTCGACTTTTTTTATTCTGTGACGTAATCAGCTATTGATTCATCATTAGGTATGCTGCCGCCGTTGCCGAAACTTATACCGTTCGGCCAATACTGACGGTTTTGGCTGAAGATGAGCAGATAATAGTCCCACTGCTAGTCTAAAGGTCAACTCAGATGGTTTCTGAGGACTGGCCAATGTAGATAACAAGACGTAAGCTTCTTCTCCCATAACTGAAATTTACGTCGGTATTTTAAATTCATCCATCACTTTGTTGATAATAAAGTACATTTCGAGTCTCTCCACGTAACTTGACGCAGTTACCCGATCTCACATCAAACTCGCGCATTTGTCCAACCGACATTTTTATGCACTAGGTTACTGCGATCCGTCCAAAACAAAGTTTTTCGTATTTATTGTCCTTGGGCGGTGAAATAATGATATCCTTGACTTCGGCGGCGTATTGTTGGTCGAGTTTCGCGATCACGTGGTAAAATTTTGTAGAATCCGAGGTTATTTCGGCTATACTGAACTGCCCCTCAATTTGGGCAAACCATAGTGCCAGTTCTGAGCCCGGAATGGAGGCATCTTCAATCCAACCTTGCATAATCCTTCTGGATCAGCCGTTGCAGCCCCTGCGTTCTTGCCGTCCTCCATATTGTTCTCAAACGACGAACGTAGGACGCGAAGCCAGGCGCATGTAAAGGTAGGTATGCGGAAATGTTATTCGATATTCACAGTTAGTAACTAACTGTGAATAACTGTTATTCGCGTGCTTCTAACTTGGGGTTAACAGGAATGGGATTTTGTCACCATATTAATTACACGGACCAGTTTTTACTAATTAGTTTATTTTTGCACACCGTGACATGATGACAAGGAAGGATTGCTAATAAAAAGCGAGATTAAATACATTTTCAGTTTATTCTTCGTAAGTGACACAGAGAATGACAATAAAGAAAAGAAGAAACAATTTTCTTTTTAAACCATCATCGTTCATCGTTTCAGCCAAATGACGTCCACTGCTGGACAAAGGCCTCCCCCAAGGTTTTCCACAATGAACGGTCCTGCGCTGCCCGCATCCAGGCTCTTCCCGCGACCTTTACCAGATCGTCGGTCCACCTAGTAGGAGGCCTGCCCACCATTTTAAACCATAGACGATACTAATGCGATCCAATTGCTACATCCTCCCCTGAACGCATGACCATTTCAGTTATACATAGCAAGCGTTTTTCTACAGTAACACCTTTGGTTAAAATATCTGATACATTTTAGATCCACATTTATAACTTTTATAATTTTCATAAAAATATAAACATTATCCCCCTTACTAATAAATTTACCCGCTCGTTGAATAGAGTTTTAAAGTGACGTTTAGTATGGAAATGTCATTTAAAGCAGTGTTCAACAACTGTGTACCTAACTTTTTTATTAGTAAGGGGGCTTGACAAGCGATCGTAGGTCATGCCAGCGGAGAACTTAAGGATTCTGAAAATGTCATTTGCCACGCTCCAGTACTCTTCTAAACGGGATTTTACAACCCCAGTTGCCAGAATAATAGCAAAATATGTACATATAGCTCGTCTGCTGACGTGTCTATTTCGTAATTCTACTGTTCGGAGCAATTCCCTGCAGCATCATTACGTTCGCTATTTGTTGAGTGTATTTAAAGAAAGAAAGAAAGAAAGAAACATTTATTGCCATGGACATCACAAAAGACAAAAGAGGTATTATTTGTTAGTCTCATACGCAACGTACTCCATGATTGGGTGATCCCATATAGCAATGAATTTTTCATATGGGCTGCCGCATGGAGCAGTAGGACCACTGTTCTGGGAGAACACTTTCCTCCTTAATTCAGGCTGAATTTGAGGACTCGGGAATTGCCTCCAAAGAAAATCAAACCTGTTTGGAACATTATAAGCTGCAGATTCGTTGAGCGCTGCAGGTACCATGGGTGCCATGGGCGTTGGAGACTCGACGAATTCTGCAGGCTCAATGGATGCTATGCAATTGAGGGTCACTGGGCGAGGCCACGATTGGTCGACCACAAGTGCCAGTGACTCTTCGTCGGCCTCCGTGCTGTAATAGGGCCGCAACCCCCTCGGCACCACCATTTTTATATCTTTGCATTAGTGAACTTATAAAACCTGTTCTGGAAGTTAACAGGATAGGAACAAAAATACTTGTATAATTCAAATGTGTAATTTGACATAAGGTGCATATTCCCCTTCATGAACATTATTAACATGTTGAAGTTTTCGTCTGAAAGCGAGGCTCGTTTTGATGTTAAAATATCTTTACCTATGGAAAACAGACGTTCGTGAAAAATAAATTCATAGATATGATAAAATAGTTATTATATCTTAATGAAGTCTTCGAAATGATTCATGACAGTTTGAAACAAACAATTAATTTATCAATTTAAAAAATATATATACAAAGATGTAGTACACTTTTTCTACCCGACTAAATCATACTGCACTCTTCTTTATCAACACGCAAATGATCACTGACAGTAATGATCAGTAATGTTGGTATAATAATAACAAACAAAACACTTGTCACTCTAAGCACAAGCAAGGTCACAACAAACAGAAGGGAATAAGCCTTCTGGTCCAAAATGACCACTTCCCAAAACGTTAGCTCCCAAAATGTCCCTTTCTCGAATCGTCCACTTTCCCAAAACGACCATTTCCCAAATAGTCTATTTCCTCTATAATAAGCCTACTCCCAAAATGACTACTTCCCAAATGGTAACAAGATAGGAACAAAATAAAATACTTGTATAATTCAAATGTGTAATTTGATCGTCGGACATAAGGTGCATATTCCCCTTCATGAACATTAACACGTTGAAGTTCTCGTCTGAAAGCGAGGCTCGTTTTGGTGTTAAAATATCTTTACCTGTAGAAAACAGACGTTCAACTGCAGATAAGCGTTGGTTCGAGGATCAATAATATTTTATGAAAAAAAAATCATAGATATAATAAAATAATTATTATATATCTTAATAATGACGACTTCAAAATGATTCATGACAGTTTGAAACAAAAAAATAATTTATCAATTAAAAAAAATATATACAAAGATAATTATAGTACACTTTTTCTACCTGACTAAATCATACTGCACTCTTCTTTATCAACACGCAAATGATCACTGACAGTAATTTATAATAACAACAAACAAAACACTCGTCACTCTAAGCACAAGCAAGGTCACAACAAACGAATAAGCCTTCTGCTCCAAAATGACTACTTCCCATAATGACCACTGTCCCAAATCGTCCACTTCCCAAAACGTTAACTCCCAAAATGTCCCTTTCCCAAATCTTCCACTTTCCCAAAACGACCTTTTACCAAATAGTCTATTTCCCAATAAGCCTACTCCCAAAATGTCTACTTCCCATGGTACACTACCTATTTTTTCACATAAAAAAACCACTTACCTTTTTATGGTAGCAAATCTTTTGAACTGCTCCTATGTTTTCGTACTGACTGTATGAAAATTACCTGAAAACTGTATTGCACAGTTGATAATAAACAGATGATATTAGATTTGTATCTTTTGCAAATTCATCCTCGGTCCAACAATAACTAAATACATTTTGGCTTGTCATGTTGTATTCTTCGCTCTGCGCAGGTTTTTCCACATCATCGATAGTTTCCCAGAGGTCTTCGTGAATGAGTATCATTTTCATGACAAACTTCCATGTTTAATAATTTTCAGCCCCTTTGAGTTATTCAATGTTTGGCGGTAATTTACATATTTCCGGCCATTAATTAAATCTTTAACGCTCTGTCTAATTTGTGGGTCAATACAATACGGTTGTTTTGGACCAATTTTATCACCCCGGGCGAAATATTCGTTGTTTTTGGGTTTTTTTCTTCATATATGGTGGTGAGCCCTTGTGTTACCCACAATGGCTTTGCTGGTGGTTAGGTATTCTTCATCACTCATAATGAAAGCTCATAGAGGCTTCAGTACCGCACAAAACTGTTTCAGGTGTCGCCATTCCTCTAATGCAGTGGTTCCCAATTAGTTTTTACTGCGTACCACTTCGAAAAAGGCCTCAAACCTGCGTACCCCATATTGTTGTAGCAATGATAAATGAAAAATAAGTCAGTGAAAATAACATTTATTATCTTCAAATTACAGTACAATAGTGAAAATCGGAATAATATGATGTATCGGCGAAGACGCTAATGTGACAAATGTGCACGTTTTTCTTTGCTCTACAGCATTGTACAGCTCTTGAAAATCTGGTTGTCCTTCAGTCTTAAATCTTGTTCAAGTTGAAGTCTGTGACGAAGCTGAGTTTTAAGTTCGTCATGGCCGAAAATTCGCTTTCGCAAAGGTAGGTCGTGCAAAATGGCAGTAAATATTTTATTGCTGATTTGCTGATATGATAAATATCTTTTAAATTAGACCAAAAGTCACCTAAAACAACTCCTGAGTTTGCTGTTGCATGAGATGGCTATTTTCAGCGGGGCGAAATATTCGTTGTTTTAAGTTTTTTTTTTTATATAAAATATGGTGGTGAGTTCTAGTGTTACCAAAATGGCTTTGCTGGTGGTTAGGTATTCTTCATCACTCATCATTAACATGGCCTCATATAGAGGCTTCAGTACCGCACAATACTGTTCCAGGTGTCGCCATTCCTCTAGTGCAGGGTTTCTCAAACTTCTGGCACCACGTACCCCTGTTAAAATTTCCAGGTGACAGCGTACCCCTAACTCATTAATTGCCTCCCCCCCCCCCCCGTACCGACCAGACACCGGGCCCGCAGGTGTGTACCGACCAGACACCGGGCCCGCAGGTGGGTACCGACCAGACAACGGGCCCGCAGGTGTGTACCGACCAGACACCGGGCCCGCAGGTGTGTACCGACCAGACACCGGGCCCGCAGGTGGGTACCGACCAGACAACGGGCCCGCAGGTGTGTACCGACCAGACACCGGGCCCGCAGGTGTGTACCGACCAGACACCGGGCCCGCAGGTGGGTACCGACCAGACAACGGGCCCGCAGGTGTGTACCGACCAGACACCGGGCCCGCAGGTGTGTACCGACCAGACACCGGGCCCGCAGGTGGGTACCGACCAGACAACGGGCCCGCAGGTGTGTACCGACCAGACACCGGGCCCGCAGGTGTGTACCGACCAGACACCGGGCCCGCAGGTGGGTACCGACCAGACAACGGGCCCGCAGGTGTGTACCGACCAGACACCGGGCCCGCAGGTGTGTACCGACCAGACACCGGGCCCGCAGGTGGGTACCGACCAGACAACGGGCCCGCAGGTGTGTACCGACCAGACACCGGGCCCGCAGGTGTGTACCGACCAGACACCGGGCCCGCAGGTGGGTACCGACCAGACAACGGGCCCGCAGGTGTGTACCGACCAGACACCGGGCCCGCAGGTGTGTACCGACCAGACACCGGGCCCGCAGGTGGGTACCGACCAGACAACGGGCCCGCAGGTGTGTACCGACCAGACACCGGGCCCGCAGGTGTGTACCGACCAGACACCGGGCCCGCAGGTGGGTACCGACCAGACAACGGGCCCGCAGGTGTGTACCGACCAGACACCGGGCCCGCAGGTGTGTACCGACCAGACACCGGGCCCGCAGGTGGGTACCGACCAGACAACGGGCCCGCAGGTGTGTACCGACCAGACACCGGGCCCGCAGGTGTGTACCGACCAGACACCGGGCCCGCAGGTGGGTACCGACCAGACAACGGGCCCGCAGGTGTGTACCGACCAGACACCGGGCCCGCAGGTGTGTACCGACCAGACAACGGGCCCGCAGGTGTGTACCGACCAGACACCGGGCCCGCAGGTGGGTACCGACCAGACTTAGGCGCGGCCCGACCACGACACCTGGCCCGACACCGGGCCCGCAGGTACTGACTGTCATATCATGTTGGCGCAGCCTTTCCCAAAGGGGGCAACCCACCACCACCTGGTCATTCCAACCTTCCGGTTGTAGCTGGCCGAATCGCGGGAGATGCGTGCGGAACTGCGTCTGCCGTGTGGCAGGTTGCACTCTGCCGCGCGCAATGAAAGAAAGAAAGAAACATTTATTGCCATGGACATCACAAATGACAAAAGAGGTAAAAAAAAAAATAAGACAGAGGTGACATAAAACATACAATGAATGAGCAAATAAACTAAGCAGTGCCACCCTGTCGCACAGCGATGCCCATCGCAATGGGACCCCACTCAGCATATGCCGTGGCCCCCGGTGAGGGAAGCCACGACGCTGGTTTTCAGTGTGCCCCATGCCGAGTGAGTCACGGACACTAACTTATACTGCATAAAATATACATACATAAATAATAATAATAGTGCGCGTATAAATTTTAAGTGTAAATACAGACGTAGTAGAAAAGATGTGATAAGATATTTATAAATAAAAAGATAATATTTAAAAAACAAAACTGTGTGTGTGTACATAATAATAATAATAAGTGTAAATATCAACACGGACCCATAATAATTTTACACTATTGAAATTATTAGCTTTAACCAGATATCACTTGGCTTTGGCCCGTGCTATCCGGAACACCAGCTTAAAAGCTGAGATAAAAATATTTAAGAGAAATAAAAATAATAAGTTGTAATGTATTAAAGTGCGTTTGTGTATACTGTGATTGTGTGTGTCTCGACGTCCGCAAAACAGTCTCGATCGATCGAATCATTCTGCGTGGTTGTGGCTATTCATAGCATCAGTTAAATCAGTTTGTCCAATGCTTGACTCCCTACAAGTACTTGCCCCAAGAGGGGCAATAACGCTCCCTTGTGGGCGCTGCAGGACTAAGTCTGCGGGCACGAATCCAATGACGTCTGAGCGATGGCTTACGTCAGGAAATGCTTCGCGCATACCCATTGGTCGATGGGGACGGCCAGTGGGTTATTTGGGACTTCATAAAGGCGGAACCTACCCACTAAAACCCGACGGTTTCCACCAGAGTCCAAAGAGACGGAGCCTCGAGTTATTGTCCTAGTTGGACATTGGTCCGCAACTCCGCCTCAGGCTCCGACTTCGAGGGAACCCCCAATCCCCTCCTCCAATTGTTTTTTTTTTTATATAAAGGTTTTCTCCTCGCGGCCCTAGTACGACAGGACCCCCGGCCCGCCGTAGTAGTATAAGATCCCGCTTTACAACGACCTTCACCGAGATGCTTNAAAGACGCACGTAAATATTCAGAGTTAGTAGCCAAAACGGTTTTCATAGTCTTTTTCGAAGAATCCAACTCTTTCTTTTTTCGAACAAAAAAATCTATAGGTTTGTCTACATACTGCGGATGTTTTGTTTCCAAATGTCTTCGCAGCAATGATGGCTTCATCACGCTATTTGCGAGAACTTCTGAACATATTACACACTGTGGCTCTGGGTACTGAGATTCTTCTTTGCACGTAAATCCAATTTTCAGATAATCTTCGTCATATTTCCTTTTTTTTGTCGATGATGTTGTGTTTTCTTGTTCTCTCGATGTCGCAGGATTTTCGTTTAAAACTGAACTTTCAGCAGAAGTAGACGCAGTTGGAGTAAATGTACTTTGTGCAGGTTGCGAACTGGATGTATTACTTGGACATTTTCTGCGTAATGACCCAGTTTTTAACCACTCATTCATTTTGAAAACTAGCTAACCGCGTGAATGTATTGAAAGTACTTTGTTTTTATTTTACTGTCAACGAAAAAAGCGCATATGCTCACACATTAAAGTAAAACAAATGAATCAAAAACGGAGTACAGTGTAAGTACTCGTAAACGGCGGGGGAGGGCGGCGTGGCGCGCGAGTCGCGCGAGAGCGAGCGAGCTACGAATTCAGTCAGTCGCGCGCGCGCCGCTATGCATGTCGGTCATGCGCGCCTTCCAGTTATAGAGCCGCCATTACGTAAATGTTGTCGCGTACCCCTTGCCCTCGAATGGCGTACCCCTAGGGGTACGCGTACCCCTGTTTGAGAAACCCTGCTATAGCGCATAACTTCAAAGGTCTTGCCTCTATAACTGGCGTGTCGAGAGGGAAATGTACGAGTAAATCTTTATAAATAGCTCTCAGTAAATGCATCATTGCGGCAGACTTGGATGATGAACTGCACAATTTAAATGGAGAATTTAAAGTAACTACGTAAATGTACCTACTAATTTAGGTATGTTGTTTGCCAAAAACTCTGTAGATGTAATATTTAACAACACATAAACGATTATAAAATTGGGTATTTTATACCAAAGACCAACTCAATTCGAATAAAAGTTTACGTGCAAGAATCCAGTGAAGCGTCTGATCCCTTTAACCCAAAATTGGAGAAAGATCAACCGACTCGACCAAGTACGTCATACCAAAGATAGAAGCTTTTAATCTTTCGGTAAACAAACCGAATTCTATTTGGCCCGTACAAACTGAACAGCGGGACGCGCTTTAAAACATAAATTGAAAAGAAATTAGTTGTGCGGACATTTCGTAGCACTCGTAGCATCCGTAGTTATTTGTTTGCGAGTTCTTTTAGGGGCAAAACAGAATGAATAACATTAAAAACGTTTCGATTATCTCTTTGTACAAACTAATACTGAATGTTAAATAGGAAAGAGGAAATCGTCTTTTTAGCTAACAACTATTTAAATAGTCTAAAAACTATTCACTTTATTGGTTAAATGTGTCATTTCTTTCTGACCTCTGTCTCATACTGTGTAGGTAAGTGAGAGCTCTTGATCAAAAGTTAGGAAAGATGACCACTTTAAGCTGCACATATCAGTAATACTTAGGTGCTGTTTTGCAACAAAAATAGAGATAGGTAAAGATAGTCTAGGTACCTACTGAGACTTGTAAATGCGAGCTTACTTAATTTTGAGCTAGCCAACATTAATTATTTATGTGTAGGTACTTTCCACATAATCAGACCTTATTTCTGTAAAATATACAATAACAGTAGTTTGCTGTGGTTTTCATAAATAAGTTATTTGAAGGTATCTTCCTTACGCTTGCTTGCTGGTAGATTTTTTGTTTGTACCGAGGAAAAATCTCTACATATTGTTGAATATCGTTTCTGATGCCCAAGAGAATTTAAATTTTCCCATTAATAAGAAATCTATTACTTCGCATCGAGGTCAGAGAATACACAATATCGGTGAAATATTGGTAGTATGGAAAAACAAATCTTTTTATTTATGACTCACGGTAATAGCATGGAAATATGCGGTTATTAGCTTGTGTAGTGGCCATAAATATTAAAAATTTTAATTTTTATTCCCTCTTTGGCATAGTAGTGCTCAGGGTAGGTATTGCGTTTTGTTTTATTTCTTTAGGTCATACATAGGTACATGACATACCACTCTTATCGAAAGGCGATAGTTCGTACAAACTATTTTTTTGTTTACAGTTACGATATTAACGCTTATATCTATGAAGTACCTATAGATAGAGTTTGCTTTTATACTGTTAGCCGTAGCACTTTTATAGCAAATAGCATTCACTCATTTTTGGAGGGACTTGTAGACAGTATGGAATCTCAAACGGAACCCTCTACTGTCTCTACAGTGGATTGCGTTTACCTCAGTGTGTGAAAATCTTGCCGGAAAATACTTTTAATAAACTATTTTTAAGGATTTAGTCACAAAAGAACTTATTATTATGTTTTGACGAACGCGAACGGCTTAAAACTATGTTAATTATCTAGACTAGCATCTCTTCTCTTCAATTGAATCTTTAACACGTACTCGTACGTGCATGCATATCGAATACTTTTGCGAAAACGTGGATTTATCTTTGTTATTATCACGTTCATTATTAATAACCGAATGATTATAACTAAATGCTGACGGTAGAAAACACGCACGAGGAAGTAACGTGTGCGTAAAATGACAGCAATATACGTAAAAGGAAAGTATACTCGTACCTATATTAATATTATTCAAATATCCAGGTCAACCTTTAAAGGAAAATAAATATTATGCGTTTTTTATCAAAATTGTTTATTGGAATTCATAAGCGTCAGGATTGATTGATTACGATTAATTATTTGGAATGAAAATTGGCTTTGATTCGGGCAACGGATATATGGGTACGAAGGTGTATAATTTAAATTATTCCATACAAATATTTTTTCCTTTCAAAGAGCACCTATAAAAAAGTTCTTTATACAAACACAACATACAACTCCAATTGAGTTGCTTTTGAAGTAATAGCACGGAAAAATAATTGGAAGACAATAGATTTTCACATGAAGGAAGACATACTCGTACATGAATTCGGAGAAAAATAATCACATTTGTTTTGTAAACGAGATACTACCTAGTTATTTTATTTTTTATTTTATCTATTTAGCTTATTTTAGGAACAACAGTGTGACAGTACACTTCTGAAAAAGTAATGCTAAAACACGTATTTTGTAGAGACTAGTTTTTGAAATGTTCAATCAGATTTTGCATAAAATATTGATATAGAAATTAGTAGACGATTTATTTTTATTTTATCGGTCAAAATTACCCACTAAATGCTCTACGTCACACGTGATACGGTAGGTTTAGAGTAGCTAGTACTAGTATTAATTTACTTTGGATTGAGAATCGAAATCAAGAGACTACTGCCTGCTCTACCATTTTGTGAAATGTGTTTGATTATTGCAGTGTGTAAAACTACTGCAATTTATACTTACCAGATATGTTTGTTTTCTTAGTTTTATACTGTATTTACTTTGATAACTGTATTTTGTGTGTAGTTTTAGTTAGTTTTGAAGAAATGGGGAACGAATAGACTACGGTTTCTGGGGATTAAGGATCATAAGTCCTTTATAAAGGACAAGTTGATTTGCCATGACGACTCAAATTAGTTTTTTAGTTATAGAATTACCTATGTATGTGTGTGTTTCAATACAAGCGTTATCTAATACCTACATTTAGCACGATT